AGAGAGAGAGAGAGAGAGAGTTTGCAACATCAAAATTATAGAGGATCTTATTCGTTTGTTGTCTAATTATAGTCTAATTAAATAACTACGTGAAACACTGGAGTTAAGCAAACGAGTATAGAATATCTCCCTACCCCTGCCCCCTCCCCTCTGCCCCCCTCCCCCCTGCCCCCTTCTCTTCTTTACTTAAATTGAAGATGATAGTTTTCAGTATATACAAATATTAACAGTTATATATATATATTCTACTCGTGTGTAAATGATTTCTAACTAAAGTTTACCACAAGTTTCTATCAGTGGGTATTTGTTACGAATGTTAATTGGTATTATGGTAATTTTTATTAATATAAAACATGAATATATATAGGGTTGATTATTCGTATAGTTAAATGTGTTAACGTTATTTGATAAGAAATAGAAAAATATTTAATTTAATTTATTAATTAATTATAAATCATTTAATTTAATTTAATATTTAAATATTAGGTAATTAGTATTTTTTTTATATTTTTTATATTTATATTTATTAATATTTTATATATATATTTTTTTTATATTAAATAAATTAATTAAAAATATATAAATTAAATTATAAGAAAAATATTTGTTATTTATATTAATATAAAAAATAATAGTGTTAAATGAAATTTTTGAATCCAAAAAAATATATTTAATTGATTGATAATTTTAAATATATTTATATATTCGTTTTTATATCGATTACAGCATATATTATATTCGTATTAAGAATAGGACTTTTTTTTTTAATAATAATTAAAATAAGTGAACTATAATAATAATATTCTTGTTCACTTTCGTTAAGAACAAATTTCATCCTCGGGTACAATAATCCTATTCGATTTTCGCCTATGCGTACGGGGATGGACGCATAGGGGACGCAAAGTTGTTAAGGCAGTTTGGAAATTAATTTCCCAACAGAAAGTTGGGCCTAGAAGGGGTAGGTGATGAAATTTCGAACGGGAAATTCCATTGGTATCCGTACAGGCTTTCACTAAAACGAACTTATATACCTATAACTATAAAGAGAGAGTGAGAGAGAGAAAGAGAGAGTAGTAGTAGTAGCAGTAGTAGTAGGTTTGTGGTTTGTCAGAGTTTCCTAAAGTGAGAGAAGGACGAATTGATTTTCGGATTTCTCATCCAGTGAGTGAGAGAGAGAGAGAGAGAGAGAGAGATAGAAATAAAAAAGAGATTGTCATCGAATATTCGAACGTATGAACGAATATAACCGTACCTATCTTTGTATTATATTTTTATTTTGAAACCTTAAAACAATTTTGAAATATTTTTATTACGTTGTTATTTTTATGTCATAGAAATTTTTTTTATTTTTTTTATTTTTTTTTTTATATATTATATTTCCTTTTTGTTATTTTTATATTATATTTATATTTTATATATCATTTATTTTTATATTATATTTATATATTATCTAACACACACACACTTATTTTTTTTTTTTTTTAATTATTTTTATATATTATATATTATTTATTTTTATGTTATATTTATATAATATATATTATTTATTTTTATATTATATTATATTATATTGAAATATTATTAATATCATTTTGATACTAGTACTAATTGAAAGAACAATTTACATTACTTTTTTTTATTTTTGTTATTCCTTTTCTTTTTTTCTAATCTTACTTTTTATTTTCTCCTCGCTGAAGATGAGATACAAATGAATAAAAAAAAAAAAAAAAAGATCGATAGAAAGTGAGGAATCGAGTATCGAATTAGGAGGAGTAGTTGTTTGTCGTACGAACGATTTTCACGGTTAGACACTAGGGACTTTAATCTCGTGAGACGAACACACGCGTGATTTGTCCTTTCTCGGAAATGTCCAAGAAAAAGAAAGAGAGAGAGAGACAGAGATGGATAGATAGACAGGTAGATAAATAACAAAAAGACCGATACGAATAGTTTATAGGAGGATGAGGTAATGGAGATAAAAAAAAAAAAGGACTAGAGAATGATTATTACGATCTATGGAGACAAAAAAAGAAATAATTGATCGGTAGGATTAGAATAGGTGTTAAGAATGATCCAATGACGTCATAGGAAATATATATATATATACATCTCTATATTCATTTAAATGTATGCGTGAATTGGTTTTATGTACTTACGTAGGTACGTGCGTTGATTTTGTATCAAATATACGCGGTTTTTTTTATCTTGGTTGAGATTATCTATTCGAACAAAAAATTGACAATAAATTTATCTTTCGATATTGTTACAAAAAAAAAAAATTAAAAAACAAGTGTGTAAAAAATAAGGAAGTTAAGAAGCTAGAAAGTAATAATATTTTTGTGTTATTGGTAAAAGATAACAAACTTATATATATATATATATATATATATATATATTATTTAACATAAAATTGACGTATATATTTGATGAAATGAAATAATAATTAAATAATAATATTAATAATAATATATTGTAATTTTTTACTAATTAATATTTTAATAATTAAAATATAAAAATAAATAGTAATCTTCTTATTAGTAGAATCAAATTGTACAATGGAATTCTACACGTGACTGGAATGTTAAATATAAATTCTTTTTTCTTTTTCTTATTTTTTTTTTTTTTCTAGATAAAATAAAGGGTGGAAAATGAATGAAATTAGCAAGTAGGATCGTGCCAGCGTATAATTCAGAATGAAAAATAGAATTTCGATTATTTTCGACCTTGATTATCATGAGTAACGTAATAAAGGCGATAGTTAAAAGTTTTGGTGTCACGGTATCGCGTGCTTACCTCGATGATAATGAAAAAAAAATGAGCTACTTAAAGTGAACGGGTTAAGCTTCGTATTTCGCGTGATCGGCTTATGGTAATTATACGGGGGATACGCTATTTAATTGTTTCACGCTCGTGCAAAACTAAAACTCTGTGAATAATTTTCTACTCCTTTTCTTCTTTTTTTTTTGTTTTTTTTTTTTAGTCAACTCTCCAATGAAACTAAGATTATTGCGAGTTATGCTAATGCTCCTCGAAATTTTTTCTTTTTTTTCTTTAATACGAATAACAATTATTCGTTGCACAATAATTCTGACGTTAAATTACAATTTGTTTATTTTATTCTTTATTTTATTTTATTTATTTATTTATTTTTTTTTTTTTTTCGTTACAATGACGCAATTGGCAAATTTATTTTCTTCTTCTTGTGCCTCGTCATTTAAGAAATACAACAACAACAACAACAAAATAAAAGGTGTTATACCTGTTTCATAATTGCATAAATATAAATTTATCTCTCTCCTTTTTTTATTGTCATAATTGCATTTTGTTGTATCATCTTTTGTTTGTTTGTTTTTTCTTTTTTTTTTTTTTTCGTAATTCGATGTTCGTTACGTCTCGGTGAGCTGTAAACGTTTAACGAGAACGTTTGCGTTTGTTCGTTCGTTCGTTCGTTCGTTCGTTCGTTCATACCTTCGTCATAACGCTTACGATAAAATGAGATACAATTAAATTATTTCGTAAAATGTTATTTATACGTGTTTTTGTATATATACGTGTATATATATTTTTCTGTGTGTTGTGTTTCATTATTCATTATAGAGTTTAACGATGAAACGGATCTGTCGAAAATGTCGGTCTTCACGACGTATCATTTTCAAATTGTAAATTAGATCGTATTAATATTCTCGAATCAGCTGGTTTTAATTTTACCATAGAAAATACATATTTTACTTACATAATCAAATACGCAACAGTCATACCCTCTCTCTCTCTCTCTCTCTCTCTAATGAAACTGGAATATTAATATCTAACGTTTTGGAGAAATCGATTTGACTACAAAACTAGAAACATATTCGTGTGTTTGACAGAAAATTACAATTAAAATTGACTGTTAATTTACGAAAATGTTCATTTACAGACAAGAATATTACAGAATTCAATTGGTGGTGGTGGTCTCAACAAACCTTTTAAGGGTTAAAATTAAATATTTCATTTAATCGTTCAGTTTTTTTTTTTTTTTTTATTTGTTTCTTTCTCGAACGAATTGCTATTGTGTTTGTATACACAAACACAATATGTTATACATGGTATATAAATAACAATTTTACATTAACAATTACAAATTTCATTCTACGATATGATACAACTATAATATTAATTTAAATAATAACAAAACAAAACAAAAAAAAGTTGGAATTAATTTACGAGTGGATAATTTTCGTACGAGAAGAAATAGTTGGAAGATAATTATTACGAATAAAACTTGTTCTTCTTCGTTTATTCATTTATTATTCTTAGTTTGGCAGGAAAGAATTTGTCATTGAAATTTCATATTTTAACGTAGCAAACGTAAAAAAAAAAGAAAAAAAAAGAAAGAAAGAGACAGTGACGAGATTTCAATTGCAAATTATGTCCCAGCATCCCATTTCTATTCGTGAAAGTTTATACACGCGTTGTTCGTCACGTTATTTTCAAATTTAATGACTCGTTCTCTCCTATTCGTCTATTATGGTTGAAAATGTTCGTTAGAATTATTTCCTTGATACGCAAACATTCACATATACGCACAACCATTCCCATTTTTTTCTCGTAAAATTACATCAAAGCTCATGACGTAAACCTGACGTAACTCTAACGCAATATTCTCATTTCTTCCTCTCTTTATCGTAAAATTAATTCAAAGCTCATTGACTTGTCGTTTTGATTACAATTTTCACGATTTGTATCTTAAACATTTTTGAATATTTGATACAAAAATACAAATTAAGAGAATAGCAATTTGCAAAATTATTTTTCATTGGACACGTAACTCGAAACAAAATGAAACATTCAATCATTGTGATTCATCGGAGTGCAATTTGCAAATAGATTTTGCGTAAATTTACAACCTTTGATTAATTAGCGTTGAATTTATTGTCGACAATTTGATTTATATCCTTTAATTACAAATTGATTATTATTATTATTTAAATAATTACATTAGTGTTATTGATGTGTGTCAGGTACGAGGCAGTTGACGAGGAATCACCAAGTTCATCGTCAAAGAAATTGACAATATCGCCAATTTTGGAAGGTGAGAAAAACGTGACGCTGGAAATTCCATTGGAATCATCTAAGAAAAATAATCCTTTACTCACACATTCGTTGATGGTTAAATCCGATCGTGAAGAAACAAACGAAAGAAGTGAGGAATCATCGGGGTGTCAAGTGATCGAAACAACCGAAATCCTGGATTCTTACGGTTCGCAAAAAATCCCTAAGGATATTTGTGTCGATAAGTGTGGTCAAACGAACGAAAGTATTATTGACAAATTGTCCATACCTGTTGACAAAATTTCTTACAATTTTGATAAAGGATCTACATTGCAAACTGAAACATTAACCACCGAGTTGCAAGATCCAAAATGGAAGAACACTTCGTCTCTTAGTTCGGTAATAATTATTCATTTAATTAAATTTCATTTTAATAATAATATTCTTTTTAATTTTTCTGGTTTTTCTTATCAAAGTATAATTTTTCATCTGAAAATAAAATGCTTAGTCAAAGGTTAAACAAAACTTTGCGTTAAACTTAAACACAATTTTCTCATCATTGATCAAAGAACCATCCAATTAAAACGATATGATCAAATTATTTGTTGAAATAAAAAAAAGAAATGGAGAAAGATTGAATAAAGTTCGTGAAAACTTTTCGTTTTAAAAATAAACATAATAATATAAATTAATCTTCTTTTTTTTTTTTCTTTCTTTCTTTCGTTGATCAAAGTAAATGAGAAAGATCGTATCTAAATTTGCAAATCGACCCAATTAACAAAAAAGCTGGATCAATCTCATTTAATTAAGTTCAAATATAGTTGAACTTTTTATTTCTCTTTTTTCATATGGTTTTTTTTTTTTTTTTAAATATTTCTTTTTTTTATTTTGAAGTGATGGTGTTGATTTATTTCTAGGATAATGTAAGGATTGCATCAAGCCCAGAAGAAACGTCAGATTCCGAGATAATCGAAGTACGCAAGGACAGTGCTTTGTTTCTCGAAGAAGCTGAAGGTTTTGATCCTCGTGAATTGGCCAAAAGATTTAGCAGTGCGCCTAGATTTTCAAGGCCACGTAGAGAAAGTAGCGGATACGCCAGTAATTTGGGAACATTCGACGAGGATAGAAGAAATTCGACGAATTACGACGTGATACAAGATTTTATCAAAGAAAGAAGAAGATCATCGGCTAAAAGATTAAATTCGCGATACGGAGAAGAAGAATTTAAATTTGTTTTCTCATCTGGTGCTAATCATAATAATAATAATAATAATAATAATAATAGTAATAATAATAACGTTTTGGAAAGGATGCCGCCAACGAACGAAGTGCAGCAAAGGAAGCTTTCCAGTTCGGGTTTGGATATGCCCGACATAGAAGAAGTCAAGGAACTTGTCAAGGACGATTCTAACAGTTCATCCTTATCACTGGAAAATCTTCACGATCTTGGTCATGCAAGTGAGTTTAATATTTTTGATTAAAATGATGATTCTCGAAACTATTAATTCGATTTAATTAGGGATCATAGTTGTTTAAAAGATTTATTTTCAACAATAATAAGACAAATATTTTTGAAGGTGTCGTGACTCTCGTTAGGACGAAAAAGATTTTGTTAAAATCTACTTTGTTTAAGATACTTAAATCAATGATATTTAATTTATATTTTTATTTTATTTTTTATTATATCAAATAAATAATTGAACAACAGAAAGCAACGATTATCAAATGAAATTAATGAAAACGAAAATTAGGTCGTGATTTTTTTTTTTTTTTACACTGTTTTATCCTTTTTTCTTTTTTTTTTTTTTGTTTATATACGATCGATGAAATTATCGGATATAACCATTAGGATAAATCAAGAGAGAAAAAATATTTCACATTGTTGATATAAAATAAATCTCGTTGGACGACGAATCTCACATTTTGTTTGATTCTCACTCGACATATTTTTCGACTCGTGTTGTTAAACAATTTTGTTCAAAGTATAATAATTCCTATTTTTTTTTTGGGGGGTCTTTTTTTTTTTATATAATACCATTGACGCATCTTTTAACGATACGATTGGTATTATATCGTCATCGGGTTTTGTTTTGCAAAAATAAAAATATAAAAAAAAATAGAGGAGTAGGAGAATTAATCGATGCAGTTCATCCTTTGTCAAAGGTGATTTCAATATTTCAATTGGTGTCAAACGAAATTAGTATTGCTCCAATTGAAATAAATGTATTATTTTTTTTTTTTTTAACAAAAAAAAAGTATAAAAGTAAAAGCAGTTTATGATTTTTTTAATTATATTTATATTAATAGATAATTATTATTATTATTATTTTTATATATCATATTAATTATATTTGTACAATTTATATTATATATTAATATATAATTTAATATAATATAAAATAATAAATTTAAAAGATATCATATTTTAAATATTTAAATAATATTTTTAAAATAATAATTGATTGAAATGTTTTATATTAATAAAAATATTTATATTAATTTATTAAATATATTACATAATTATTATTAATTATTATATTTCATTTAATTATTTAATTTGTTTTTCTTTTTTTTAATCTTTTTGTTTTAGACGACAAATCTTTAAATCCATCATCGATTGTTTCAACAAACAAAACTGATACAAAATGTTTATCAAAATCATTAGATAATTCACCGAAGGAATGTTGTCCAATAGAAACAACGACGATACAAAAAGAAAACGTATCCGATCGAATTTTAAAAGACGATGACGTTGAATCAATCGAAACAATTGTATCATCAACTAACCAAGAGGAAGATAAAATAAAACCCATCGAAGGTGTTAAAGAAGAATCCAAATGTAAATCTAGCGAGGACTCCTCTTTAGAAGATGACGATCACGATAATGATACAATGAAAAAGAAGAATAACAAGATTATGATGATAACAAAGAAGAAATCTATGACGATTGATACCAAATCCGAAATTATTTCAAGATCTAATAACAAAGTTTATCGTTTTATATCAACCCAATCAGAAGACAGAACTGACGATCGTCTAGAAATCGAACTTTGTCCTAACGATCGAAGGATATCCTTGGAAATAACTGGAAGGGCTGAAGAAGAAGAAGAAGAGGAGGTGATGGTGGTTGAAAAAATATCTGATCGATTATCGTCCATCGTTAAATTGTCTGATGATTCTTCTTCCAACGTTACCCGAACGAATAGCAATTCGAAAAAAGATGAGGGTGATGATGGTGGTGGTGGTGGTGGTAGTGGTAGTGGTGGTGATGGTGGTGGTGGTTCTCCTAGTAACAACGTTCCAAGAATTTCCCTTTTAACTGGATCATCAACGAAATATAGAAAATTGTCTCCACCTGGTGATATTAGTGTCAGTGGTGCTATTGGTACTCATCGAGTATTATCAGACATTGCTGCTACGGTCTCGGTCAGACCCATTTATCCTTATTGTCCTTATTCTCCTTACGGTAGTCCTCAGGGATCACCGAGAAATCGTAGAAGACCTTTAAGAGAAAGTAGAAGAGTCTCTATCGATAACACTCAAGGTGGATTACAGTTAAACCAGTACAGATTGATGGATAATATTGGACAGGTAACTATCATCAATCATTCACTTCTAACACACCTTTTTCTTTCTTTTTTTTTTCTAACATACAATTGTTTGACAATTCATTTTTTACATTTTTATTTTATCCTTTTTTTTTTTTAGAACGATTACATTTTCTAACTTTTGAAACTCCAACGATAAACCTCGACAATATAAAAAGGGGTGGAAATATTTATTGGTCAAATTAATCCTTTTGCACCCTCAATTCATTTTCTTTTTTCTACCTTTACAAAACAAAACAAAAAATTGGTTAAACACTGTTAAAAATTTGTCATTTTTATAAAATGAATCTTCGTAATCTCGATGCTCGTTGTTTTACCAACCCTTTCTCGTGTACAAACGTTGACATACAAAGGGATTAATAATAAATAATCGATAAGATATTTTTAATCGTGGAACAATATTTATAACTATTTAATATTTTGTTTATATTTTATAAAATTATAGTTAGGAAAAGATAATACTTTACTTTTTTTTTTTTTTTTAATTATTATTTTTATATAAAGATAAATTGATAATATTCGAGATAAATATAAAAACAAAAAGTGTACAACATCAATTTTAATTTAAAAGTTAAATAAGAAACACACAAATTTCAATCGCGTGTGTAGAACGTTTTTATTTGTAGAGAAAACAAATCTAACGAAATATAAATTCAGTATTTTTTTTTTTTTTTTGTTATTTAAAGGAGATCTAACAGAATAATACTTGAGTAGTATCGATAGGGGAATCAACGATGACCTTCGAACTTCTTGATCGCATAAACGACGATCTTGATTATCGAAATGGCTTAAACTTCAAGGAGGAAGAAACTGTTTCTTTTTATACTTTTACACGTGCCCATTGTGTAGCCGTATATGTTCTGTGTGTGAGTGTGTGTGTGTTGTGTGTGTGTATAAGAAAAAAAAAACATGAGAGAATGAGAGAGTGGGAGTCAAAGGAAGATGGTCGGATAAGGCACGGTTTCTTTTTTCCTACTTCTTTTTTTTTTTTTTTTGTTTTTTTTCCCCTTCAAAGGTACACTAGGCTTGCCCTCAAGGGAACACTTAAGGAACACCTTTTTTTTTCGTATATCTTACTATAAGCTTTCCGTGTAGATAGGACAGCAACCATCATCTTATGGCAAAGTATTTATAATCATGGGAGGGTCGTATGGGTCTTCCTGGTTTTTCTTCTTCATCATCATCTTCTTCTTCTTCTTCTTCTTCTTTTTCTTCATATTATTCCACCTACGCTTTTATAAACATTTCATATTATTACGAAAAGTTTCTATGAAAGTTTTTATACGAAAATTTTGTCAATTGTTCATAGTAATTAAAATTTATTTAGTAGTAGCAGTAGTAGTAGTAGTAGTAGTAGTAGTGGTAGTGGTAGTAGTAAAATAACAAATTCTGTAGTGATTTTGAACATAAAATTTATTTAATATTAGGTTGTCCCAAAAGTTTCTTCCTTTGTTTGATAATAAGTTGAACAATATTGTATGCGTAATATATAATTTTTTTTATTTGTATTTTACGATATTTTACTAAAAATAATATTCTACTTTATTTTACATTTTACTATACTTTAAATTATTCAACATAAAAAATATGGTACCTGTAGAATTACTAAAAAGGAAGAAACTTTTGGGACAACCTAATATATTATAAAGAAATAAGTTAAGTATTAGTTTATGTAAAATATTTTCTTTTTATTAATTAATTATATAAAAAAATTACTTTTTTATTTTAAAGTTTATAAATAGGACACAAATACTAGCATTTCAATATTTAAAATAATTTAAAGGATGAAAAGGTATAGGACGAATTATAAATTGCTTAAAATTGTATTTTTATAATTGTTAATTAATTTTAATTTATATTTTATTATTGCAGTTGTAGAAATGTCATTTAGAAATATTTAATCTACTCTTTATGTGCTTATTTTCTTTTGTTTTTTTTTTGTTTTTTTTTGTTTTTTAATTTTCTATATAGATTATCGAAATAATAACAAAAAGCTTTTTGATATACTATATCATGTCAACGTCTAAGTGAAGATGGTTCGCGTTGTTGTCATCGGAAATCGATTAGGATAATCCGTTTGATAGGATTGGTAAAACGATTAATAACGAATAGAGAAAGAAAAGTACGAAGTAGAATTTTTATAAGCTACCTTTGTATCTCAATTTATATTTAATCGATATTTAATGACTCGATACATTCCTATATCGATCATTTTAATAATCCTTTTTGTTTCTTTCCTTTTTATACAAAATAAATACATAATAAAGATTATAATAAATGCACAGATAAAAAAAAAAAAAAAATAAATCTCTAGAAATAAGCTCTTGTAATTTTCGTTTAGATAATCAAAATTTCGATTTTTATTTTTCGTATAATTTGATTAAAAAAAAATAAAAAAATAGAAACATAATTTCGTTAAGAACAATTTAAAAAAAAGAAAAAAAAAATCTTTAGATTGTGATGGTGGTGGATATATATTTTTATTTAAGGTAAATTACATCGAATAACAGGTTTTTACATGGTTTTAACCATTTACATAATTGAAGTGTGAAAAAAGGTATAATCGTTGTGGTGGCATTTAGCCCGAAGCGTTACAAGAAGAACCTACTGGTATAATTAAAGTCAAAGTTAAATTGGCCCCCCATC